CAAGTGATGGCAAGAAACTCCAAGTGATCTAGTCATTCAAGGTAGAAGGAGAAAATGAAGGGCTTTAGTTTTCCATCCATCACACATAACACCCTCAATTATTTTAAAGTTATCACTTTGGGCGAGAAGTATCATTTATGTTCTATTGCCTGAGGACCGTCACTTTTCTGTGAATCTTATTAATCATTTTATATTTTGCATCCTCCTCCAACAGTTGAATAGTTTCGCTATTTACTATCTTTTCTGAAAATTTTGTTGTGCGTATTAATGTAGGATTCAAAGGCATATGAATATACATCAATGAAAAGTTTGAATGAATCTAAACATGGATTCTGGGGTGCGTTGGCCAGAAAGGCTAAAGCAATTCTTGATGATGATAATGATGTCCAGCAACCTGCAGCACCTGGAAGAATGAGGGAGCAAGCACCTGGTACAGGTACAGGAACAGGTACCGCTACAAGGGTCAAGGTAAGATTTTCTTAAATTGCATTTCAATATTGACCTAAGTATCTCATGGGAGGAGATCTTATCTGTAGAATGTTTTGGCAGGATGTTAATGTGTCTGTTTATAGTTAAAACCCAATATTTTTGTATCTGTTGTAATATGCAGAGTTATGACAGAAGTCGGTCAGATGAAAGCCAACAAAAAACAGAAAATTCCTCTTTCCAGAAGGGATTGGGTGCCATTACATCTTCCCTTAACTATATTGGCAATGCTTTTGAGGTAAGCTATTAACTGAAATTCATAATAGCCTATCTAATTATCCCTTGTATATTTCAGAAAATAGGGATTCCTTATGCTTCTTTCTGTTTCTGAAATATGTAGCATGAAAACATTAATATATATATATATATATATACACATATATAGAAAAAAAGACAGTAAAATACCATTTTATTCCTTGTACTTTGAGTTTCTGTCACTTTTTAGTTCTCGCACTTTTTCAATAAAGCTTGAAATTGGTCCTTACCATTAGTTTCAAGTTTATATTTATCGAAATTGATTAAATAATAATGATTATTTTCATGCAAGAAAAGATACCACATGAATATATTTCCAAATTTTGTAAAAGGAAGGCTAATAAAGATTAAATAATTTTTTAGAAAAGTTAACAATAAACTAAGAATAGAGACCAATTTTAAGTTTTATTGAAAGTTTAAGAACCAAAATGGAATGAAACCTAAAGTACATGGACCAAAATGATATTTTAACCAAAAAGAAAAATATGCCATTAAAACATCAGGGGGTCATGGACCATGCTGAGTGTTCTAAGATTACTTAAGTCTCCATTTCACATCATTCTTAAGGATATTCCTTTGTCTTCTTCTCAGGAGAAGCTTACGGCTGTGGAAAACAAAACAGCTGATATTATTCAAGAAACTCGCAAGCATATTAAGAAAAAATCTGGTGGTTCAGTGGCACAGTATCAGACTTCAAATTCTGGCTTTAACATGCATTCTCAGACACAGCCTCAACCACAGACCCAAATGCAAACCGGCATTGAACTTCAGCTGAAGGCATCTCGCGACGTAAGGTGGCAACTGTATATCACTAGTTTATGAAGTTATATCATTAAACCATTGCTTAAAGCTTATTTGCATTATACCAATGGTTTTAACCTATAAGTCAGTTAGCTTAGACCGAATGATCTGGGGATTGGATCTATGTGCTGTATTTTTTCTTGCAAACCTTTTTTAAACATCCGTTGGTCTTGTTCGTGTCTTTTTCTTTGGTGTCTGGCTTTGTTCATTTCCACAAGATTTGGTGTCCTGAGCTTCACATGAGGATTCAAGTCTTTTCTTTTAATGGCTCATATTTCCTGCTAACGATGTGTTGCAGGCTCCTGTGGAGGTTTTGATATAGGTTCTTGTTCGTTTCACAAGTTTGTTGACTGGATGTTGTGGATTTGGATTATTTATTATTGTGTCCCCCTTTTGCCGAGTTCTTATGAAATGACCTGATATGTATTTAGAGTTTGTCATGTGTCTATCCTCATCACATTGATATTTGGAGGATGTAGAGTATCAGAGATGCATTCAAAGGATTAAAGCAAGTCCTGAATGTTTGTATATGCTACTCTGCAGTTCATGTTGAATAGTAAAACCTTCCAAGTCAAAATGGAAAAGAAGATAAGTTCAATTGATACCGAAACCAACTTTAACTTCTTTGTCTGTTTCTTTTTGGAAAAGAAAAATGTAGGTTCCTTCACCTTTTACGTTACCGTCTACAGGGTTGGTTTTCATGTTGTAGGATGCAACTAATTTATTTGCCCTTCCTGTCCTATATTTTTGTATGACATATTGATAATGTTTGTATCGTATGTGATATATAGTTCGTTCGGTATAAATGTAGAAGTCGATTTCTTTTTCTTTTTGGAACTCGTGCATCTATTTGCATAAATGTTTTTCAGTTGCATCCACCATCAGTGTTCTAATGAACACGATGGTGAAATTTGATTGCTGTTTGATATGAATTACTTTTCTTCTATGAATATCAGTCTACTTTCTTGGTAGAATTTGCCGTAGCTCCCTTTGATATGTTTTGCAATAAGAAAAATGGGCGTATTCTTTTTTTTTTTTCATTTGTTTGACTCCATAGGTTGCAATGGCAATGGCTGCCAAAGCAAAGCTGCTTCTTCGAGAGTTGAAGACTGTCAAAGCAGATCTTGCTTTTGCAAAGGAGCGATGTGCTCAGCTGGAAGAAGAAAGTAAAATTCTTCGGGAGAATCGTGAGAGAGGGAACAACCTAGAAGATGATGATTTGGTAACCACTCTCTCTATTCACACCATCTTTGCTCATGTTGTACCTTTCTTTACCCATTACGTCAATATTCCATAGGTAGCATTCATTTCTAGAGAATCATTTTAATCGATTGATTTTAGTTCTAACTCCTAATGTTTTTAACTTTAGATACGACTCCAACTCGAAACACTTCTGGCAGAGAAGGCTCGTTTGGCCCACGAAAATTCAGTCTACGCACGCGAGAATCGGTTTCTAAGGGAAATTGTTGAATACCACCAGCTGACCATGCAGGATGTTATATACCTGGATGAAGGTACAGAAGAAGTCACCGAAGTTTACCCCATTAAGCTCCCTGCAGCATCCAATCTCAATGCCGTTTCTCCGTTAACATCTCAGCCGATGTCGTCTTCCAACCGATCGGGTGTAGGGCTTGACATGAGTTCTCAAATGACCCACATAGTGCCTACTTGCCCTTTACCCCCATCAGATCTGAGAGGAATCTCCTGAAGCTTTGCATAAACAAACTCTTTTTACATTGTGAACATGCTGGTTGGTTGATTGCATGATGAAACCCATCCAACCCTATGATGCTTTGATTAGTTTGATTTGAATGATAAAAAAAAAACTGTACCTTGTAGTCTGTCTCTTCTCTTCTACTGTTCGTGCTGTAACAATGCTATTTTCGTAAAATTTATTATGTTTATTTATTCGAGGGGCTGGAAACTCAAACATCTAATCTTTTAAACTGTTTTATATTTATGATCGTATGTGATATGTATGATTACTTATTACTCAATATCTTGATAAAAGAATATTTAATTTCTTTTTTTTTTACGAGTGAGTGACATGTTACGTTGTTAAAAAATAATCACGAAAAAAAAGATTAATTTGTATGTAAAAGAAAGAAGCATTATGGAGGTGGAGCCTTCCAAATTCCAATTGATTTGTGGGACAAAGCTAACACATAATATCTATATTGGATAACTATTAGAATGGTGGGGTGGCTTTCTTCAACGCCACACAATTAAGTTAATTAATTAAATATATAAATATATATATATATATATATATATATATATATTAGCAATAAGTCTAAATCATAGTCGAACATAAAAATGAATAAATAATTTAAATATGAGCATTTTAATAATTGAAATATAAAGATTTCTAAGATAAGTTTAGTTTAAAATAATAATAATAATAATAATAACTTTTTAAAAAATATATAATATATAAAAAGGGAAGTGAACAGGGAAAGGCGGCGGCGGCTATAGTTTTGGAATTATTGGTCGGTTAAGATGTGTTTGGTAAACAAACAATGGAGAAAGGACCCTTTTGCCCTTTGCCGCCTTCTCCATCTTCTTTATCTAACCATTTATCACTCTTTTATTTTTCTTATTCTTTATTTCTTCTCTCTTTTATACATTTCTCTCCACCTTTTATTTTCATTATACATTCAAATATAAGTCCATTTTGCCCTTAAAACGTTATAATTTGTTGTTTTTAAGGCACCATCGATAGTGATTTTAAAATGGTTGAAAACTCTTTTGTCGATAATTACTCTCTGATTCAGCGTATATTTGTTTGATAGGTTTATATTGTCATCATTTTGATTTAGTAACTATATTAAAAAAATATTTTAAATTCATCTTTTAATTAACGGCTTTTCAATTTGAAAACGGCATGTGAGGGCATAGTCAAGAATTTCACAAATTAATTTAATTAATTAGTGTGATTAGAAGGTATGAAATAGTAAGTAAATAAGTGATACTAAAATAGCATAAACATATTATTCACTCTAAACTTTTTTACTAACAAAAAAAAGAAAAAAAAAAAGACATTTATAGAAAAAGCAAAAATATTAAAACTTTTCTTGTTTGACTTTGTATCCATCCTATGCATTTGGATTTAATTATTGCACTAATAATTTTCAAGTTAATTTGTTTGAGCATAATGATTAATAGCTAAGAAAATAAAATAAAAAAGAAATTAAGGCACAAAATATGCTTTTTATGAATAAAAATTAAATTAAAAGTAGTCAAATTTATTTTAATAAGTTTACTTAATAAAAAAACTAAATAATAATAATAATAAAAAAAATGGACTAATGTAGTAATATTGTTGGAATTAATTACGAAATTAAACAAAAATAGTTTTTTTTTTCCTTTAATATTCATAGACACTTTAACTTGTCGTTTATAATTAATTTGAGCCACGTCACAAATTTCACCTAATATTTAATTTAATAAAATCACCATATTATTATTATTATTATTAAATTCTCGACGTCGTTGAATGTTCATGGAAATTCCACGCTATTTAGAACTTAGAGGACGTCAACCAAGAAATAGTCCAAGTCCAGCTCTACCTCCCCGAAATCTTCTTCGCCGCCGCACTGCCTCCTCGCCGCCGGCAATCTTGCCACCGCCTCCATGTTGAATTCGAACTCATCAATCTCTCTGCAAAACATCTCATCAATCAGAGGTAAAGCGCCGTCATAATGAAGAACAGACGCCGGTGACCAAACCGCCGTCGTTTTCGGCGACTTCAATCCGTCCTCCTGCTTGTTACCGCCCTTGGCCGCCGTGGAAACCTCACCCTCATCGGGGAAGTTCGTCTCGGCGTTTGGGCCGTGGAGTTTCAGAGCAGCTCGGTCGTAAACAGCCGCTGCCTCCTCCGCCGTATTGAAGGTTCCGAGCCATATCCGCTTCCTACGAGTCGGATCTCGGATTTCCGCCGCCCACCGACCCCACGGACGCTGCCGGACTCCTCTGAACTTCTTCCGGTGAAAGGATTTGGAGCTTTGGGATCGAGTGCTTCGTTTCTTGCTAATCGCCGGAACAGGGGACTCTGATGAACCATAAAAAACAGAGTAACATCCAATAGGAATCTCTCTAACTTGTCTCCTAATTCCTTTTGTTGAGCCGGAAACCATTTCATCATCACTGGATGAATCCGTGGCATCGGCGTCGGTAACGATGATCCTAACAAGCTTCTGCTGTAGTTCCAGAGAGTCGCCGGAACTTGGCGGTTTCCGACGGTGGTTGATTCTACGCTCTGGAAAAAAACCCATTTCTCCCACAGACATGTTAGATCTGAAACAACAATCAATCTTAACAAAACCTAAGAAGCTTTGGGGTAAGATCGAAATTCCCAAGTGGGCATACACAAAACAAAACAGAGTATCACAGCAAAAGAAGATCAATCAATCTGTAAAATCAGCAAAACAGAGAAGAAGAAGAAGGATGAAACGCAAGAACACCATTGAAACAACTTTTCACAACAAACTAAATTACATAGAAATGGATCAAACACTAAGAATCCCTTTTGAGTTGAGAAAAGAAGAAGAAGAAGAAGCAGAGGAAATGAAAAGGGAAGACTTGGGAGTGGAAAATCCAAGTCCAACCAAACAGAGATTGAAGGCAGATATATAGGACATCAAAGAATGTTCATATATATATATATCTATATATATATATATATATATATATATGTTAAGAAATTAATTAATTTACATTCAAAGAGAACAAGACTTGATATTTTGGCTTCTCCCAATCACTTCCCACTAGGATGTCTTGGATTGACTGAGATCTGCTCCTAAAAGTCAAAGTTTATGTGCTCTAAAACAAATCCACATGTTTCTGTGCTCTCAAGTGCTTTGCTGCTGGGTGAATGATGAATTAATGGCTACACTTAGTTTGAAACAAAAATTTAGTTCCATGATCGAACCATGACTTTGTTTTAAACTTTGTTTTAAGTCCAAAATTTCACACTATTTTAAAAATAATGTTGACAAGATATAGAGTAACGAAAAAAGTAATGTATATTGTAAACTTCCTGTTGAAAAAAGAAACGAAACATTCCTTACAAGGGTACGAAAACTTCTCCGACCGTCTTGAAAGTGTAAGGACCAAAAGTAAACAACAGGACAAACAAACATGTTGGTCTGACATTAGCGAGATAGGGTAGAATGAATAATCAATCATTAGAGAATATAGAATAAGATAATATAATTTCTTCAAATCAATATTCACAATCAAAGTTAAGCTCTTAAAAAAATTCAAGTTTTACGAACACACGGGCTTTCGTTTCTTTCACTTTTTCATGGAAACAAGATTCAAGGACACTTCTTTCTTCAAGAGCTGAAATGGTTGAGGTTGTAGTCCATTATCCCATAGCATACTTCTGAGTCCAGCTGCGTGCAGTACCTTCATACTTGGCTCTATCAGTCTTGTACATGTGAGCAATTTCAGGAACGAGAGGATCATCCGGGTTGGGGTCGGTTAGCAGTGAGCATATGGACAAAAGCACCTGAAAATACATTCATTAAACTTTTACTATGAGATTCTAATTTCAAATTGATTGCATAGAATAGCTCATTTACAGAAGGCATGCTAATCCGACAGATGAACTTCTCCTGGTAACTGCAAAAAGCTCAAAGATTGGAAAGTCAACATATGATCGTTAGGAATCATGAACCTCCACGTAGTATGATATTGTCCACTTCAAGCTAAGATCTCATAGCTTTGTTTTTTGTTTTCCAAAAGGCCTGCATTCCTTACTTATAAACTCATAGTTCCGTGTAGAAAAGATGTCTCCACAAATGTAATAAAGCAAGATCCATATAAATTATCATTTGGGATCCAAGGATTTCTTTAGGTTTCCAATCTTTAGGATCCGTACTCCACAATAGCCAGAAAACTCGATACAATTCAGGGGAAAAATTCATTTCATGTAGGGCAAAAAACTAGACATGGAATACCAATTTCAAGGCCATTCAGCAAACTCAAGTAATTTGGTTATTCTTGAAAGATTGTTAAAAGCAAACTACGTTCAAACAAACAGCCAAATTGCAGCATAAAACGAAGTAACAGATGGTTGGAACAAAATTAGAGAACCGCTCAAACACCACTAATCAAAGTTAGAAACTATTTCAATCGACTGTATATTTAGACTAACCTTGGAAATAGTTAGCGCAGGGCTCCACTGTTCCTTAAGAATGTCCAGACAGATGCTACCATTGCTATTAATGTTCGGGTGGAACACCTTAGTCCTAAAAGCCACCTGCGAGGTTTCAAAAAGTTCACTACAAATATTCCTACAGTAACAATGTAGGTAGAATGAAACTATGGAAATCAAGAGCATCAAACTAGGGGAAAACTAGATAAAACAATCAATATATATGGAACAGTACGAATATTCAGCTGAACAAAAAGACAATGTCATATTCAATACATATCTAATTCTAGTAAGCACAGAAACGAGTTCTTGGGGCATATATGAACACAGCGGTATTAGAAATTACTTCACCTTTGGAGGCTTGAAAGGATAGTCCGGAGGAAAATGGATAGAAACTAAGAATACACCTCCAGAGTATGGAGAGTCAGTAGGTCCCATGATAGTTGCTTGCCAATGAAACATGTCTTCAGCCACAGGACCTATTGAAAAACAAGACCACATATGAACTTTGAGGTACTTTTGGGAGACAACAACAGCAGAACAATTGAAAACGAATTAACAACGGGCAATTTGGACGCAGACCAGCAAAGAAACAATGTTCACGACAAAGAAATCAATAATCAATTAAGGATTGAAAGGAAGGGCACACCATGTTCGACAATCTCAAAATAGAAAAGAACCCAAAATAGGTGGTCGAATTAGAAACAATCACCCCTAATTAAGCTGAGAATGCAGAATGAAACGAAGATGAAATACCAGCGCTGCAAGAAGTAGGAGGATCCTTCTGTAAATCCTTGAGCTCTTTAAGAATCCGCTTTGAAGCCATAAATTTCCAGAATACGAACAAGAAACCTGGCTCCCCAAACACAAAATATAGCAAAATTTAAGTTGAAAGAGCCCAGAAAACGGCTGATTAACATTGAAAAAGTGGAAAATAAATGAAGAAAGATAGAGATGAAGTCGGCGAATACCTTGCGAGGTCTGTATACGATGAAGGGTTTCACAATTTCGAAGAAAGAAGAAGCGAATCTGTGGCTGAAGGAAATAATTTTCGCACACCATTTAAATATGGAGACGGATGCTTCTAGAATTTTTCCTTTCTCCATTTTTTTACCATATTTAAATTATTTACTAAATTATTCAATATATATATATATATTCTTAATTTCCATATTTTGTCTTTTAAATATCTTTCGAAAAGTAAAAAATAATAATAATTATTATTATTATTATTATAATAATTATTATTATTATTTAAAAATACGAAAATTAACCCCATTTTCAGTGGGAGTAAACAAAATATCTCAATTTTGATATTTATATTTGAAAATTCTAGAAAATGAAAGTATTTTTTTTCTTGTTATTTAAGTTCTTATATTTTTATTATATTTATCTAAATAAAAATCATAAATTAATCCTAAATTAAACAAACACGACGATTAAAATTGTGTTGAAAATGTTTAGCAACATACTAATTGACTGTACCAATTAGGGAGGAGAGTGAAACACGAACATAATTATTTATACTCCATTTCACTTTTTCAAGAAGACAGGATAAGAACATAACCTCAAATGAGTTGCACGCTAGAGGTTTAGACCTAGAGCGATGCTACGAAGATATTGAAGAAGGCTACATCTATGAGCTCAATACGATACCCAAACCGAACCAATTAGGTTAATAATAATAACCCAACTCAACCTAATGATTCAAGTTTGGTCGGGTCCGATTTTCTGAGTTTCGAATTCAATGTGCACTCCTAGACCGACATAAAGGGGTTAAAATATCTCAAATTAAACTAAGAATTAGATACACTCTACAAAGTACAAACTTAGCTCCTAATTTGGACAATTCCTTCTAAAAGAATGAAAATAAACACAATCTCTAAATCAAAGAATTCATGGGGTCTGCACATTTGAGTCCTTGGATTTGTTCTCTTCGGAGGACGGCTGGTTCTCCGAGTCGGATTGCCGTATTTCTTCGATCATTCTAACGACTTCGTCCATGTTCGGTCTCATGTCGGGCAGCTTCGCTACACAAGTCATTGCTATTTGCAACATCTGCACCATTTCTTCTTCTATATTCTGGTACCTCATTAGCTCAACATCGAAAACCTCAGCTGTCCATTCCTCCCTCACGACCGATTGAACCCAGCGAGGAAGATCGACCATTTCGTCACGACCAGGTGATTGGAGGGGAGCTTTTCCAGTTAGCATTTCGAGAAGAAGAACACCAAAGCTGTAAACATCTGACTTGTGAGTGTGTTTACGAGCTTCGATCACCTCGGGTGCACGATAACCTGCAGTTCGAGAAGTTGGGACATTCATAAGAGGGGTAAGGCCAAAGTCAGAGACAGAAGCATTGAGATCTTGGTTTAGGAGAATATTTGAGGCCTTGATGTTTCCATGGGTGAACTTTGGACCACCCATTGTATGAATATGAGCAATGCCCTTTGCTGCTGTAAGAGCAATTTTGAGTCTTGTGTCCCAGTCAACTGGTGTTCTTTCCCCCCCTCTGTTTCCTGCAATACACAGTACATAGCTAACATGAGATATATGAACCTCGTTTCCGTCCCAACCGATGTGGGATCTCACAATGCATCCTCTTTCGAGGCTCAACGTCCTCGCTAGCACACCGCCTGGTGTCTGGCTCTGATACCATTTGTAACAGCCCAAGCCCACCGTTAGCAAATATTGTCCTCTATGTGTTTTTCCTTTCAGACTTGCCCTCCAAGTTTTTAAAACGCGTCTGTTAGGTAGAGGTTTCCACACCTTGGTGAAGAATGATTTGTCCTCTTCTCCAACCGATGTGGGATCTCACAATCCACCCCCTTCGGGGCCCAACGTCCTTACTGGCACACCGCCCGGTGTCCACTCCCTTTGGGCTCAACATCCTTATTGGCCACCTCCCGATGTCTAGCTCTAATGTTATTTGTAACAACCCAAGCCCACTGCGAGCATGTATTGCCCTCTTTGGACTTTCCCTTTCGAGCTTCCCCTAAGATTTTTAAAACACGTCTACTAGGGAGAGGTTTCCACACCCTTATAAAGAATGTTTCGTTCCTCTCCCCAACCGATGTGGGATCTAACTTTTATTTCCACCTCCCATTGTTTCCAAGCCGAAAACAACCCACGAGTCGTACTAGCACAACTTTCCTCTTAGTCCACAATTTTCGTTTACGATAATGTCTAAAGGGATGTTCTATGAGTCGTACTTATGCACGACGCTTTAAGTCGGTATTAAACTAAAATCCATTTTTTCACAAAGAATTATACAGTAGATAACTAAACAGAAGAGAAGTAAAGAACACATACCATGCAAAAGTGACGACAAGCTGCCTCCGGGGACATAATCATAAACAAGGAGCTTTTCATCTTTCGAGTAATAATATGCTCGGAGTGGCATGACGTTCGGGTGCTGCCCCACCCTGCCGACCGTGTCCATCTGTTGTTCAAACTCCCTCTTCCCCACCACCACTTCCTTCAATCTTTTCACCACAACAGTGGTAGGTTCCTCCAAGACAGCTTTATAAGCTGTTCCATAGCTGCCCTTTCCAAGCACTTCAGCTGAAGCCCTTAATAGGTCTTCAAGATCAAAGTTAAATGAACAACCTTCAAAGAACACCAGCTTGTTTTTCTCAGCCTCCTGCACGCCACTTCCGAACTCCTCTTTCGGTTTTTCGCTTCTCCCACCACCAGAAACTTTCCCCTTTATCGTTCCAGTGCCTTCGCCGTCCTTTCTCTTTAAACAGCACACGATCACGAAAAGAACTACAAGGAACAGAACCAAAAATCCACCAACTGCAATAGCTATGATAACTCCCATCGTCAGTCTTTTCTGCTTTGGAGAAATGGCAGGTGCTGGAGATAGGTCTATGGAGCAAGATTTTAGAGGCAATCCACATAATAAAGGATTTCCAATGAAGGATGAGTCCGGGAATGTCCTAAAAAAAGTCGGTATGGAACCATTAAGATGGTTATAGCTTACATCGAAATGCTTGAGCTTAGGGAGGTTGATATCTGGTATAGAACCAGAAAGATTGTTGTTCCCGACGTTCAATCCAATTAGCCGTGTCAAATTTTGGATAGTTTTCGAAATCGTTCCTTCGAGTGAATTGAATGATAGATCCAATACATTGAGTGTTGGTGAAAAGGATGAAGGGAAGTCACCAGAGAAGTTATTATGCTGGAGATAAAGATATTGGAGAGAAGGAAGTGAGGAAATATCGAACGGTATTTTTCCGTTAAGGAGGTTGGAACGAAGACTGAGAATCTTAAGACCATCGAGTTTCCCTAGAGTGTTAGGAGGAATTGAACCAATCAGTCCAATCCCAGGAAGTCGGAGGGTAAGCACACGGGTTCCATCTGCATTACAAGTAATGCCAACCCAAGTAGTGCATACTGATGTATTATCGTTCCAGTTAAGGTTCCGACGATGTGGAACAGACGATACAAAATCGAGAAGAGCCTGCTTGTCTGAGTTCAGGTCGGCAATGGCAAGGTGAAGTAGATTAACAATAATCAAAACGAGAGAAAGCACTGATGCTGAACAGAGCTTCATTTGGAATTACTTAACACAGGAATAACTACAAAAGTGACAACCACAATCCGTTCGTTCGGGCCCTGCTGTTTACCTGCCACGAATTTGGAAACGAGAAGTGATGTTGAGTTCAAGGTCTCGAAAGGACAAAAACCCGGAAGAAATTAATCAGTCACAATGGAAACCTCAGACACAAAGAGTAAAGAATTTATACAACATCATGTGCTACTAAAATGGAAATTCAACAACCGAGCTGAATTCGCACTTCATAACTTTAACAGACAAAGGCTTAAATCTCGACAGTGACCATCTTTCGAGCATCGATCCTGAAGCATCTCGGTACTCGTACCGAGATCTAGGAGTATGAGTTGGTTTGGATTTCACTAACAAGTTTAACGTCACAATCTTCCTAAACAATGAGTGTGTGAGTGTAGCCAAGCCCCAATAGTTCAAGAAGTTCTTTCAGAACAAATTTCAAGTCACAAAATAAGGAAGAACAACAACATTTTTGTGTAATTACATAAGAGCTGACGAAATTGACAAGCAGATTAACATAATTTCTGATCAAATGACAAGGAAATTGCGATTTAGATCATGGATAACAAGAACACAAAACAGGGTTCAATCATTTTCAGGTTGAATAAGCTTCGAAGAAGAAGAAGACTACACAAATCCGGTGAATGTAAGCCTGAAAATTAGCTCGAAGTGTAATCTGAGCTCACAAACAAACAATTCCAACAAAACATCAACCAAAATAGAAGCATATTTCCAACAAGAACACAGATCTATCAACTAAAAAACAGGGGAAGTGAAGAACCTCAAAACGAAGAAAGCGACACCCAAGAACCCTCCAACGCCGTCACCGGAAGAACCAGCCACCGGTAAAAAGAGGTACAAAGAAGCTTAAGAGAAGTTCGCCATGGCCGCCGGAGAGAACTTACAGTAAAAAGCAGAGCCGAAGCTTCACATCCCGCCGGAATGAAAGGATCTGAGAAACGAAGCTTTAAAGCGAAATTTGGGGCAAGAAATCGATAGAACTGCAAATGCAAAGAGAAAATCAAAACGGATTTGCAAAATAAAGAGAAAATAAGGATTAGAAAAGTGAGAGCACTGAGATTCACCAAAAGAAAGAGAAATTTGTGTCGCTTTTAGAAGAACAGTGAGGGGGAAAACGAAGAAACCCACGGTGGTGATTCTAAATTCATGCAATAAATTGAGGAGTTCAACTAATTGCATCGGCAGCTCAGGCCGTTTAGAGTACGTTGTTGTTCATCGTTCTTCGATGAACCCATCCACGTTCTCATGCTTTCGTTTGCAGCTACTCTAAAATTACAGTCTCACCATCAATGCCACCGCTCCATGGTCGTTTCCACTTTAAACGACTACAATTTTATTAGATAATACAATTTATTCTTTTAAATTTTTTTTTTTTTTTAATTACAATACAAAATAATAATTTTTAAAATAGAAAAGCTTTTTTTCTTTTCTTTTTTTTTTTAAAAAAAATGTTAAGTATGTTAATAATTATGTGGTTGGTGCTAAGGAATTTGAGAAAGATTCCCACATAAATAAAATAATGGAATATTTCTAATTGGTTTATACAGAAAATAATTATTTCCAATTATTTTTGCTTGTAAAATTTAGTATAAAAACATTTAAAATTTAAAATTAATTTATTATTTTTCTTGAAAATATTTTAAAATTTAGGTTTATATTCAAATATTTTTTACTAGAGATGTTTTTTTTAATCTGTAGGGTCGAAACCCTATGGAGGGCACCTCGAATAAGGTGAGAAGTCCCTGTTAACTAAATTAAACTGATGATAGAAATTACATTCTCTATCATCGACTTCGATCCCTATTCAATCCTCACAGCATCATGTTGAACATTATATCATATTTATCATTATAAAATATTATTCGAGTTATTAGAATGTTTTACATTCTTTAATAAAAATTATATAATATATATATATATATATATATATATATATATATATATATATCTAGAATGACCTTAAATTGGTTATGTCTCGATTTGGTTTGAGTTGACTTTGACCTTCCCATCGAGTATTAAGGTTTGATATTGTCCTCCTTTGGTACAATCACTATGACTTACCTATGTCATCTCTCACTCGTTTCTACTTATTAGTTTTTATTGTGTCTTCCCTCCTATAGAAGAGGTCATGACAAGCTCATCACGTATGAATACGACATGAAGATTTGAGGGATTAGTCTCCTAACTCGAATGCCTCGTTAATGACAATCATGGTTAGGGTCATTTGAGTCCAATCTATTACGTTTTTCTTCTATACTTCAAACTCCTTGGGTTAGTTTTCTCAAGGTTGAACCTGAGATGGGCTCTTCCGTTACTTTTTCACTCATCTTTGATGTTAGTAGAAAAGTTTCTTGATAGAAAACTCTCGGTTTCCACAACAATTCTCATGGTAACGTTGTCTCCTAATACACAAATCTAGATAAAGAGGATGCACGTGATTCAGTGATGAGTTGAGTTTGTATTTTAAGGAGAAGAAGGTAGATTTCAAAATAAAGAAAATTGCTTCGTGATAGGTGTGTTATTCCTCAACTAATATGTTAAAAAAAAAAGTACAAGCATGGAACCCAAACAAACAAATATAACGGAAATTTTAACTAAATAATCGTCGTATTTATGTTTGGATTTATTATAAGTGTCCAAATATAGTAAGGAAGATAAGAATCTTTTTCTTGAGGTGGAAGATTCCTTTTCCATTTATAATTATTGAATTAAATTTAAAAAAAAAAAAAGAATTGTTTTTACTCTCTCATCCTAAATATTAAAACTTTTAGATATGTATAAATATGCAGAATAAATTTCTCAAATAGGCCGAATAAATTTAAAGAAAAAAGTTTAGGGGTGCCCTTTTCGAAAACGGATATCCCTACTATACCTAGAATCTTCTAATAACCAAAGGTATCCGTGCTTGGTTGGATGGCGGCTCAAGATCAGCTATTTGGAGGGTAGATATATGATTTATGTTCATACACGTACATTAATAAAAAAAAAAAAAAAAAAACTTTTTTTCTAAAATTTAAAAAATATTAAATGCTAATTTTAAAATTACATGCTTTTGATTTGATTCCTATACTAACTATTGGAGTATTTTTTTTTTTTTAACTTTTAAAAATAGTCTAAAGGTTTTTTTTTTTTTTTTAAAGAAAATTAAAAATTTCAATGAAAATTTGAAAAAATTAAAGGTTATTTAAATAAATAAGTTGAGTAGTAATTAAAAAGAAAAAAGGTAAAAAGCAAAAGTAAAATTGTAGAGATTCTCACTCTAATCTGGCCGCAGTGAATGGCCAGTCCACTTGGCATCTAAAGGATTACCGGGTCCAGGCCAACATTTTGTCCTTCTATAATCACTCTTAATTTTTGGTATCACATCAGAGAATTTGGAGGCGCTGTAAAAAACGTCGAAGAAGAACACGATGTTGAATCATGCCTTTCGTTTCAAGGGACCACCGTTTCCAAATTCAATGCGTCTTCCAAACTTTTCTTCCCTTCACCCTCCTGTGGATCTCTAAAACAACACGATTGTGATTGTTGTGATTGTCGTGATTGTTGTGATTGTTGTGATTGTTGGCTTACATACAACATTCTACCCTAAACTATCTCCAAACTACCAATAACTTACACCCACACTTCCACTCAATGCTTGGATAGGATACATTAGAGCAGTTTCCATTAAGAACAAACAAATCTAGTTTGAGCAAGAGCAGCATTCTAAATGAACGCTAAAATTGAGAGTACAGGGCAAGGAGTAACAGATTGATACAAGGAGAATACCAACCCTTTATCTATGCCATCATCTCCAGGTGAAGTAAAGCACACTCTGTAATTATGATCATCCTACCCAGATTTCACTTCCACCTCTGAGGATCATTTGTAGAATTCAAAGTCTGTATCAGGCTTCTTCACGTTGGTTCTGTATCCCTTCTCGAAATCCTTCGGGAGTATCACATATCTGTTCTTACGAACCGCGTGCATCCCAGCTTCTTGACAGATGGCAGCGATCTGCAGTTGGCCATCACAACTACTGATTAATGTTGAAGTCCATAAAGAAGAGGGGAAAATGATACACAAAATTTGTTTTTGTAATCTAATTCAACACTAGATGCCTACTTACTGCTCCTACATGATAGGAAGACTGTAACAGCATTTTTAACAATTAAGGAGCATGGAATTTCTTCAGACAAGCATTCCTTTCTAAATCTCTTTATTTAACTAATCCCAGAAAGCCACGAACAATGTCTCTCTCTGGCCTACACTCCATTCCCATATTTTACTCCAGTTAACAACCAACCCCACACCCTATTTTCTCAGAATCTAATTCTAAAAGTGGCGTGGAGGAGGAGGATTATATGCTGCAAGGTAATGAGACTGAAGAAGTAAACCAGAAGAATGAATCAAACGCAGTGTTTTATCAATCTAATGGTACACTATGCACTTCAAAAAACAAGGTTCTTCAGGCTTCAATGATATAAAAAATGAGTTCGAAAGGATATGGGACAAAAAATAAAATAGAATAACAGGAAGAAAAGAGAATAAATTAGATAACTTTTCAGTATTGAGATGTTCAAAAGAAGACTTCTACTGTAATTACTTCTGATGGACAATAACTAAGCTAAACACATTTACGGCACAAAACGACATTTCAATTACGAACCTCAGCAGCACTGATTTTGTCCGGGCGAGAAACATAATCCTCTAGATCCACTTCATCACTCAAGTTCATTTTTGCAGTGCAAACCTACATAGAACCATAGAGAATTTATAAACTAAAATTGGCAGGTAGACAGCAGTGAAATGCAAATCTCACAGCATGCATAGCCAAAACTAAAGATGTCTAATATTAGTTCTGCCGTCCGGAAGGGTGAGAGCTGAAGAGAGACATATTATAAATACAACAAGAAGCCACTCCTGCAGTACTACAGGAGAAACAATATAGAGCTTAAAATAAAATATTTTGCAAGATTTACCTGAAATACCAGCCTCTTTTGTCTGCGATCAGGTAAAGGGAATTCTATCTTCCTGTCGAGTCTTCCAGGACGTAGGAGTGCAGGATCCAATGTGTCAGCCCTATTCGTTGCCATGATGACCTTAACATTCACTGTCTGGTCGAACCCATCCATCTACCAAAATTAAAAGTAAGTTGAAAACTAAATGAATCAGTAATCATTAGAAAATTATTCATTACTACTAATATAACGCTTAAAAATCCCACTCCTAATTAATCTCAGAAAATTAGCAACCAGTATCCGCATAAGAGAATCACAGCATCAATAACCTTGTGAAATGGGATCCACATTTTATGCATATCGTACCTGATTTAAAAGCTCCATGAGAATACGCTGCACTTCTCTATCTGCTCCTGTTTGAGCATCAAAACGGGCTGTTGCTATGGCATCAACCTCATCAATAAAGATAATTGCAGGGGCATTTTCCTTAGCAAGGCGGAAAACATCACGAACCATTCTTGGGCCCTGAAATTGAATAGAAAGAGCATAAAACTGAATCTCGAAAAGATCTCCAACAAAAATTGAACTTGAAAAACCCGTCAGTTTCACTCTGTCTAACATGATTATAGAAATTGAGATTAAGAACACATCTCATGTAAAATCAATGGTTAGTTTCCTACAAACAACCAATATTGAATTGGTAGTTCATGTAAAAGAACGTCTCACAAACTTAGTCGTAGTAAAACAAGTTGGAAAATGAACAAGTAATGAAATTATAAAAGATAAATAGAAAACTCCAAACATACCTCACCCAAATACTTCTGAACAAATTCAGAACCAACAACTCTGATAAAGGCAGCAGTTGTATGATTAGCAACAGCCTTAGCAAGCATGGTTTTACCAGTTCCAGGGGGACCATAAAGCAAAACACCTCGAGGAGGATCAATACCAATTTGTTTGTACAGTTCATGGTGAGTAAGAGGTAACTCCACTGCTTCACGAATCTCTTGCTTTTGGATATCACATCCACCAATATCCTAAAAACGATTAAGAAGAAACCAGTAAGCAATTTTTCGAACTCCCTTCGTTTTCAAAAACCTTCCTTAAGGGAAACATGATACGAGGAAGAATTAATATCAAGTCAGAAGAAATAAATAGAGTCTAAACAGCTAAATCAAAGTAGGCAACCTCACACGCATTTCAAAATACTCGAGAGTGAATAAGGTGAACCTTGGCAAAAAGTTAAGGCCATCAAACTGTGTTTTATGCAGAAAATGCGTTCAATTAGGACATTTTAAAACTACCAAGAAGTATTTTTCTTTTGGGAGGACCTCAGAACAGATTAACACGAAAAAAATGTTCAACTAGTAGTTCAATCAAAATCCACACATTTAAACCCAAGGGAAAGACGCTACAAAAGAAACCCTCAAAACCTTTCGAAATCATAAAAATGTGACATTAATCTTTCGGAAAATGCTAATTTTCGATTAAAACGACAAAACAATACGCATTATCAAATTTCATATAACTTTTCTGTCGAACGATCACCAACTATTTAGAAGAACAATCGAACCCTCTTTCAATTTGCGATAACGAACAAGATGGTATCCAAATTTATATAGAGTTCAACTCAAAATAACAAGACTGGATTCCACTTAAACCCTAATTCTATTATAACAAACGGAGAAATACAAGAACGCCGAAAGCAACATCATTATGCAAATTCGAACAATTTACGAAAAAAAAAATAATTTAAAACTCACATTATAGGTCACGTCAGGCTTCTCCGACTGGCTGAGCAGAGATATACTAGAGTCGGCCTCAGGAGGCAATACGTCGACTAACGCATTAGAGTGACGGTGCAAAGCTACGGAGGCCGAGGGTTTAAGAAGTTCGCGATTAATAGTGCTGAGAATCCTGACATAATAATTGGAACCAGTTGTGGATCCAACAATCCCATTATTCTGATCGACCATTTCCATGAATTGACCGATTACCAAAGGCACCGACTGTATCCTTTTAACCTCTTCCTGTGCTCGTAGAAGCTCGCGCTTCAAGTTCTTCTGTTCATCCTTCACATATTCCTCTTGAATGTCGATGAACTCCAACTGCCGCTGCAGCGATTTCAGACGGCTGTAAAGGTCATCCTCGTCGGAGGACTGTTCCGCCAGGCCTTGGAGATCAGATCTCATCGATGGGAACGATGCCGGTGGCTCCAGTGAGGATTTGGGATCAAGAACCATAGCTGCGGCAGCCATTCTGGTTTTGCGATTCTTCCTTCTCCGAGTAAGAAAGCAAAAGACAGGACGATGAGAAATTAGAGTATCGCGCAAGAAATTCTCTGATTTATAATCTTGTTCGAGAATCTTATCGAAAACGGTGTCGTTTCTCGACCTGGCTTTTTTGAGTCGGTCGTGATAGGGAGGCCCACTTTGAATCCATAGGCCCATTTATCTATATTGTTATTTGGGCCATTTAGAGGCAGAGCGGCCCAGAAATGACGGTTCGGTTCAGTGACATCTCCGAAAATAATAATCGGTTATAAAAATAATAATAGTTTACTGTAGACTCTTATAAAAATGTTTCATTCTCCTGACGTCAGATCTCACACAAAGTATAAAAAAATAAAATATTTTTGTAGCGAGGTTTGGGAAAATCACTGCTTAAATCTTGTATAATTAAAAAAGGATAGAATTTAGTTTCTATAATTTATTGAAATTAGTTGTAACGACCCTAAATTTCTATTTGCCCAGAGTCGCTACCGTCGTCATCATCTAAACTCGTACGTTGAATTAAACATAACTTTTATCTTAAAACACAGTCATGGACTTACGTGTTTTGAAAACACTTTTAAAACGACACAACAAAATACTAAAGAAAATAAATAAACCTTTAAATTAAAAACGTCATATTCTAGTTTTAAGTCTAAGAAAATATATGTGACTACCCTATGTATGTGTCATGGTCTCAAGTAAGCTGTACTGGGACGCCTTACCTTTTATCTGAAAGGAAATAACAAATGACTTGAGTATTTTGAGAAATATTCGGCCACTATTAGGGTAAGCGAATGCAAACACATGCAACTCATGATCTAGGAACCTATCATTTAAAAACCACCATAGGGGTGATCTCCAATCTCGAACAAATTGGATGTGTAGTACTTCCCTACACATGACCCGCATGTGTGAGTGTGAATCTCCAGGGGGCTCGCACACCCCCTAGACCCTCTTTGGTCAAGCTAATCTGTAGCGACGCCTGGAGGTCAGCGAAACCTCGTAGTGTCATGCTCCCCATGAACACCCTCATCATCATACTGTGTGCGTCCGCACTCATCATCATAAATGGGGAAGTATTCTGATGTATATGAACACACAAAATGCATGAAGTCCCTATAGTTTTCATCTTTAAGACACAACCCTATACACCGTTCACACATTACTCCAAGTAACATACACACAATGACCTTAATACATTCATTATCGTTTGTTTAACTAGGGTTATGTCTTTAAAAACCTGTCGTCATAATGCATTGTAACATTTAATACATGCACAACATCTTAACATGGAACATCATCATATGAAGTCATTTCATCTTATTATTATGCATCATCATCATCATCATGTCGACATCATGTACAACATAACATCATCACATCATTATCTAACATCATCACATCATCATCTAACGTCATCACATCATTATCTAACATCATCATATAACATTATCACATCATCATCTAACGTCATCACATAACATTATCAATCACCATATGACACCATCACATCATCATCTAACGTCATCACGACATCACATAATATTATCAATCATCCTATAACATTATAACATCATTACATCATCATATAACATCATCGCATCATTATCTAACATTATTAAGTCATCATATTACATCATCACATCATCATACAACATCAACACATTATCATCTAACGTCATCACATCATCATATAACATAAAGCATAAATGACACGTGCAAGGGTCACTGGGCACGTGTCGTCATATATAAGACAAGTCTTCCGACCGAGCTGACAGTAATTGACATTTTTTTTCTCCGCCATTATTATTATTTATTTATTTATTTTCAAACGGACCTTTTAATTAAATTTAAATAATTTAACTAATGATAAATTCTTCGGATAGAACTATTTTCATTTTTCTTCGAATTAAATCTAATATGACAGTTTTGTTTTCTCGGTTAGTTTTGTTGTTCTGTTTCTTTAGAACTGTTGTTACATAATGGTTGTTGATGAGAGATAATTGGGAGTTAGAACGACAAGTGGAGAGGAGTGGGGAAAGTTTTTTTTTTTTACTTAAAATTCTCCTTTTTCTTTAACTTAATTATTTTTATTTATTTATTAATTTATTATTTTCTTTTGGGTTATTACATTAGTCTACTTCGAAAATTCACATCAATAATTATTATAATAAAAATTATATATATTTGGTATTTTTCAATTTTGTCTCTATTATTTAAATCATTTTTAATTTAATCTCTTATATATTTATTACCGTCGGTTAATAATATTTTTATTCTCCCTGAAATGACGTAATCCATGACAAAATAAGTTTATTATTAATGAAGATTAAAGCATAAGAATTTAAATTGAAAATTTTAAAATTCGAACGAAAAAAATATTCGAATTATTCAAATTAAGGTATATAAAAAGTGGGATGACTCGAAAAATCTAGTAAATATAATCTAACAGGTACAGTTAGTGAGTCGGGTTGATTATAAATGAAAATTTTATAGACTTTAAAATTAAATTGAATTAAATTAAACCGATATGAATTTATTATTAATTTTAAAAAATATTTTTTTTTTATTTTGGATACATACAAACATTTATTATTATTCTCCAATAACTTAAAAAAAAAATCATTTTTAACTATTTAGAATATTTTTTTTCCACACTATATATTGAATTTACAAATCTTAATAAATAAATAAATAAATATTTTACCGACTAACCTTTTATTTTTATTAAAAATAAAAATTTAAATAAATGGCCTACACAACAGTAAAGTTTGTTTAAATAAAAATTTAAATAAATAACCTAAAGAACCCGAACGGTTGAAAAGAACGTCGAAACTAAACCTTGAAACCATATTATTATTCCTTAATTAGCACAAACAAATAATATTAACTTTACATTAAAATACACGAAATAAACACACTCCATGTATTTATTTGTTTGTGATTTTGTCACCATTAAAAATAATAATTATACGATAAAATTGAGGCCAAAACGGGAATGATGACGGATAAAACCATGTTGTTTGGGACTTGAATTGGGCCGCCGCCGCTGGTGGTGGTGGGCACATCCTTGTATGAAAAGCCTGCACATTTTGGGGTTGTAAAATAGTCTAGAGAGAGTAAGAGAGCGATACGGAAGATTAGTCATTAGGGTCGAGTACCTGTTGAATTGGAGCATCGTTCATTGAGGAAGCTACGAAGGGTCCGTGTATCGAAGTTATTAGCGAACCAGAAGTCCCTCTTCACGTCGTCGATGCAGTCTAGCACGTCCATCGTGTGCTCCAAACACCCTCCTCTACAGTAACCTCTCATGTCTTCTTCGGCCACCTCTATCGTTATGTTCAACCATATTTGCTGCTGCTCCGTGCATGCTATTGATTTCTATACACCCCGAGGTCACCATCTCATTAAACTCGAACAAGACTTCGTTTTCAAGACTCTATCTTTACTCTAGAATTCAATTTAAGTCTACCATTAACAAATATTGTCGTCTTTGAACTTTCTCTCAAGGTTTTAGAACGTGTATGTTAAGGAGAGGTTTCCACGTCTTATCCATATACTTATAAAGAGATAAGGAGAGACTTTCACACCCTTATAAAGAATGTTTTGACCTTTCACTTCTGAGCTTAGTTCTACTAAGATACAGTAAAAAGTTTTGAATGTTTCGACGGAGAATCATATATTAAATAAATACAAATTTAAGAGTGGGAAAAATAAATTAGGAAAAGGTTTACATTGAACATGCACTCGACGGCGCTCCTCCACGCCTGAAATGGGCTCAGATTATCATTTCGCCGCGGCTCCGTCATATCTAATTTCGCCACAAAAAATAATAATAATAATAATAATAATCATAAAATTAAAAAAATAAAAAATAAAAAATAAAAATTACTTTCGGCATTTGCAGACGAGGAAATCGCGAGGAAAACAAGAAGGCAAGCAAAGGAGGCGAAACGGAGGTTGCTGAAGAAATGGAAATCCATTTTTGTGTTGAGAAGCTTCTGGATTTGGGAGTGCCGAGAACCGGAAGTACCAGTAAAAGGTATTAATACGGCCATTCTTAGAGCACTACTCGTAATTTTTTAGTATAAAGTTGAGGTTTAATTTAGAGAATATGCGCGACTAGTACGAGGAATAAGTTAACAAGACCATTTAATTTCTTTGGAAAAAACTAGGACGATGATTTTTCGATTTTAACGTTAAAACATTTTAATTTTTTGGACCATTGTGTCAAAATTTACATTTTAAATATCTTTCTTTTTCGTTAGCGTCTATGGTTTGGCCTAATCCCAAATCGGTTGCATCAGCATAGGCTTCATTTTTTTATACTATGTTTTGGTCAATAAAAGTCCTCTGTCTCGGGTTATGAATAGAGTTGGCACACTTAGTTTGATAATCGATGAGCTCACTTATAGAAGTAAACTTGATTGAGCTGACCCAATAAGGATACGACCCCTCACCCCTTAAGCTAAGGTGGGCACTCCGAAGTACGAGCCGATCTTAAAGAGATTCCAAGAGTTGAGCGTGTCAAGTAGCCAAAAATCTTAACCAACTAACTCTATAAAATAAAACGAAAGACATGTTACACAGCCTTGCCCTAATTTTTTCAGAGCTAGACGAGTGACTAATATCAAATATGTTGTGTCAATCACGTCACTAAACCATTGCCCAAGTACTTGCTGTTGCAGATGAAATAGAGGACAAAAGCAAATAGAATTAGGACATGGGATACGAAAACGTTGAACGAACGTTATTTCAAGAAATATGTACCACAGAAAGGATGAAACTTTTATTTTAATTAAAGAAACTTTTTGACACACTACATATCGGATAGCTTATTAAAATCTAAACTTTGAGGTATTTATCGTAAAATAGCTTCATTTTTCTAAAGGAAATAAATAAATAATAAATACCACTAATTGTCTTCGGTAAGTTACCTTTCAATCCCAACAACTCCATTTTCATTTTCTGATTAAAAAAAAAATAATAATAAAAATATTTAAGTATTATTTTTCCTTATTTTTCAGATTTATTGAATTTAATTTTTTGTGGCTCGCATATTTTTTTTTATTGAAATATGTATAATAATATAAAATTTATAATAAAAATAAAATTTTTAAATTAAAATTCATATATATCTAAATACAGTAAATATATATATTTTTTATTAATATATATTTAATATTTAAATCATAATTACATCCTAACTTGTTTAATATATTTATTAAAAAATAAACTTTATTTTTAATTTTGATTTCATATTGTGGGTTGGTTGGTGGCACTGGCAGGAGTATGACGTGGACATACCAAGTGGACAATTGAAAAGTAAAGATAACGGAGCGAGAGCAAACGCCGTGAAACACAAGTAGTTGAGAACTGGTGTGGGACGACATGGGGATTCGATGGGGTTTGGTCGTAAATGGCTGATGACGCTGCCGTCACTTTTAACGGAGTAGGTGAGCACAATAATTTGGAACATAAAGTGGTCGTCCGTCTACCCCCACTAATTCCATTTGTTCATACGGTTATTGTTAATTTATATTTTATTTTTATTTTAGTCTCTTAATTAATTAAATAATTTTCTGACTGAATATCACGTGACTAAAAAATATTAATTTATTTTAAGTTCCAATTTCCAACGTAATTATTTTCTTAATGTTTAAATATTAAATAATTTTAAAACGAAAATTAATTTTTTTTAAATTACGTACAAGAAATTTGGAAATGGAGAGACAAGCGAGTTGACACGTTACCAACCCCCGTTCTCGCAATTAATTAATTAATTAATTATTATTTGAAGAAAAAAAAAAAAAAAAAAAGTCGCATTTCTTACGAAATAAAAGTCAAGGAACCCATTTCGGACTTCTCCGGCTTACTTGGATTTTCATCCGTCAAATACATAACGGTCAAACCATACCCGTTGACTTTTTTCTTGTTTTTTATATTGATTTATTAATTTCAATGTTTTTTTTGTATAAATAAATTCCATAAATTTTTAGTTTGAATTCCCTCCAACAATATGTGATTTATTTTTATTTTATTTAAAAAAAAAGTATATAAATTGTATTAATTAATTTAATAAAATGTCCAAAATTTTCTCTAAAGTTCGGTGAGATTTAATCAAATCGAGTACTAGTCAAATGAAATAATATATTTTCCTTTTATCTCATTTTAAAATTATAATTAATTAATCATTATACCATTCCGTACACCATTTTAATTTATTGCTTTTATCACGATCAAACGTTCATTCGATTTATATTTTCGTTGCCACGTGTCAAAGTACCTCGACCACGAGGCTTGGTCGAAGGAACCATTCGTGTAAAATTTTAGAAAGTAAAAGTGTATAAATATAATTTTTATGTAATAAAAAAATAGTCATATATTGAATTATGAATTAATATTATCTACAGTAAAATACAATAAAATTACCCTGAAGAAGAAAAATTATCGAATGTGGGCGTTACCAACCATGTGTATCTACAACCGTAGACCATAACAAATGTGAGCCGGAAGATGGGAAAAGAGGAAGACGTGGCATGATCTTGGAAATTATGGGAAAAAGAAATCTGATGTCGGCAACAGGGGATAATGGCTGGTATGGGGCGCATTATCGCACCAACCCATCTCACCTAACCCTCTCCGCGACAAATTAAGAAATTTATTCCCTGTCCGTCTTAAATAATCTCTCTTTTTAGTAACAATATTAATTATTTATAATTATGTCCTAATTATTTTTAAATGCGAAGTTTAAATGAATTAAATTATTAATTAAAAAGTTATCCTTCTACAATTCATTTTTTAAGAATTATATTAAAATATATATTATCGCATTAAAAATTTAAAAATATAATTTTGTTAAAGTTGTTAACGCCGTTAGATCTAACGGCTGAGAGCTACTCTCCCTCAAACTTCGCCATAAGTCTTACCTAACTCGTACCGTCAGACATCGCCGTCTTCCCCAACGATTGAATTGAATATGCTTATAAAATCCCCAATGCTCTCTCAACCACTCTCATCAACCATCCACTAAACTTTCATTTCAATCAATCCTCTCCGCCATGGATCTCCTCCTCCTGGAGAAGACTCTAGTCGGTCTCTTCGTCGCGGTGGTTCTCGCCATCGCCATTTCCAAACTCCGAGGCAAGCGGTTCAAGCTTCCGCCAGGGCCATTGCCGGTGCCGATCTTTGGTAACTGGCTACAGGTCGGCGATGACTTGAATCACCGAAATCTGACGGATCTCGCCAAGAAATTTGGGGATATCTTCTTGCTTCGGATGGGACAGAGGAACCTTGTGGTGGTCTCCTCGCCGGAACTGGCTAAGGAGGTGCTCCATACTCAGGGAGTCGAATTTGGATCTAGAACCAGAAACGTTGTCTTCGATATCTTCACTGGAAAAGGTCAGGATATGGTTTTCACTGTCTATGGTGAGCACTGGAGGAAAATGAGACGGATAATGACGGTTCCGTTTTTCACTAACAAAGTGGTACAACAATACCGTTACGGATGGGAGTACGAGGCCGCAAGCGTTGTGGAGGACGTGAAGAAGAATCCAGAATCGGCGACGAGTGGAATCGTTCTCCGGAGGCGGTTACAGCTAATGATGTACAACAATATGTACAGGATTATGTTCGATAGAAGATTTGAGAGTGAGGACGATCCTCTGTTTCAGAAACTTAGGGCTCTGAACGGAGAGAGGAGCCGATTGGCGCAGAGCTTCGATTACAACTATGGCGATTTCATCCCGATTTTGAGGCCATTCTTGAGAGGTTATCTCAAAATCTGCAAGGAAGTTAAGGAAACAAGGCTCAAACTATTCAAGGACTATTTCGTCGAGGAGAGGAAGTGAGTTCAGAATCAACTCTAAATCGAAATCAATTTTATCTGTCTGTATTGTTAAATTCTTTTACTGAAAATCATGAACTACGAACAGGAAATTGGCGAACACAAAGAGCACATCAAACGAGGGATTGAAATGTGCAATTGATCACATATTGGATGCTCAACAGAAAGGAGAAATCAACGAAGACAATGTCCTTTACATTGTTGAGAACATCAATGTTGCAGGTACGTTTAAAAGTCTTACCTCTTTCTCCGCGTCTAGTTGTTGCTCACCGAGATTAGGCTACCACTATACAGTCAGTTGAAATATTTAGTAAATCTCAAGTAAACAAACTTAATAGTCACCGAACTTGTTAATTTTCTTTGATCAAATTGTATAGTTGAGATATATAATTCAACTCAAAATTTTTAGGTTTGAATTCAAATTTACATATTGAACTAGCAACAAATTTTGTTTTAATCTAACAGGTATTATAACTTCCTAAAGGTTAGGTCTAACTTTTAAATTTGTTTTCAATAACTCTAATCTATTCAATCTCCATAGTTGAAAATCCAGTGACTAAGTAAAGGATCCACTAGAAATTTATTAAATTTTAGGAACTAATTAATTACAAAATTTTAAACTTAAAGATTAGTCATTTAAACTAACAAGATTATACAAAGATCAGGAGGAGAAACTGAAGAAACCTACCAATTTTATTTAAACTTAAATAGATAAAAAATAAAAATTGGCATTGTCGTGTCTACGGTATTATTGTCTATTGCAATTGCAATACGACGCCTCATTTAATGTTAGGCCGACATCTAAGGTCTCTTGCTCGTGAAAGTACTGCTACATAATTGGGCCTTCTAGCTACTGTCCAAATAATAATAATAAATAAATAGTAAAAACAATAAAATAAATGACACACTTAGGTGGACGTATCCGTTTGTGTATCTGTAAACATGATTTGATTGATAGAACATATTTAGTTTCATTTTTCATCTTTCATTCTTTTTAATTTTTTTTTCTCTTTTCCATTTCATGTAGTAAGAACTAAATCCACTATTTCTAAGTAAGACAGAGGAGAAAGCTAATTGCGCCTAATAAATTATTTTTTGGCTTCGTATGGGAAGACAGGACGAATGGGCCATTTCTAGACATTTTGTCCTGTTAGGCGCTGTGTTCTTCAATGCATAAGAAGCCATTGCATTTTTCCATTTAAACCGTATAATATATATTTTTTATTATTGGAAAGTTGTGTTTTGATTTAAATCTAAGATAAGAAATTGATAATTGGAATAACGTTGTTATTGATTTGGGTTTACAGCTATCGAAACAACATTATGGTCCATTGAATGGGGCATTGCGGAGTTGGTAAACCACCCTGAGATTCAAAGGAAGTTGAGGAATGAGCTTGACACTGTACTTGGAGCTGATGTCCCGATCACTGAGCCCGACACCTACAAGCTGCCTTACCTGCAGGCTGTGATCAAGGAAACTCTCCGTCTTCGGATGGCCATCCCATTGCTTGTGCCGCATATGAACCTCCATGATGCGAAGCTTGGGGGTTACGACATTCCAGCTGAGAGCAAGATCTTAGTGAATGCCTGGTGGCTAGCCAACAACCCCGCCAACTGGAAGGACCCTGAAGTGTTCCGCCCTGAGAGGTTCTTGGAGGAGGAGTCGAAGGTTGAGGCCAACGGCAACGACTTCCGATACCTTCCCTTTGGCGTTGGTAGAAGAAGTTGCCCTGGCATCATCTTGGCTCTGCCAATCCTTGGCATTACAATTGGACGTTTGATTCAAAACTTCGAGCTGCTTCCTCCTCCTGGACACTCCAAGTTGGACACCTCAGAGAAAGGCGGCCAATTCAGCTTGCACATTTTGAAGCACTCCACCATTGTTGCCAAGCCAAGAGTGTTCTAAGCTTAAGCTTCAAATGTTTCTTGTTTTTACGCCCTCTTGAAATTACGTGTTGTATACACTTGGGGAAGATTTTGAATGTTCAAATGCTTTATTTTTATATCTTTTTCTTTGTCTAATAAATTTAAACTTCTTATATCAAATTTTCTTCAAAACTTCCACTAATCCTTAATGTTTAAATCCTTACATAAAAAATTTCCTTCCTATGAAATTTTTTTGGTAAACCGAAAGTAGAGTGGAATATAGGTTAAATTACAAGTTTAGTCTAAGTCTCTAAGCTTTTTACTTTCGTGTAAAAAAGTCTAATAGGTCTCTAACGTTGAATATTTCCAAGTTTTTATGTACGCGTAGGGGTATCTATTTCTTACAAAGTTGATTAATCAAGACTTTGGGAGACGTTCCATCCTAAATCACGACCTACCCAACCTAACATTCTCACCCTAGACTTAAGTCGATCCTACGGCTTATTCTTTATAGGGAGGAATCACACATTCATTCACCTGAGCTAGTGTACAGTTAACCATACGTGCAGCCACATATTCTCTACGGGGCGATAACATCCATCAAGCACTAAAAGTGTAGATACACAAATATCCCATCTACCGTCATAGTGTAATAACGTACTAGTAGCAGCAAAGCATAATATGGTATACAAGGTACAATCCAGAAATGTCTAGGTACATGTTATTCCAAACTAGTAACTTAGAATTTATTTAACTAGGATGCATGCATAACCAAGGAAATTCTACAAATATTGCTTACTAAATTTTTGTTTTTGTTTGCCTTCGTGAGTATGATTACTGGCCCGAAAAGTCCCAAAAAAATTCTGAACAAGCTAGTAGAGGAACCTAATTCACGAAAAAAGTTTATATAATGATTATATTTTTGAATTATCCATGAATCTCTATTATAATATTCAATTAATTACATAATTAACAAATAGTTTGGTAAGGAATGCTCGCATGGTAACATATTCTAGCGAACCGATATGACCTTTTCTTCTGGAATTTCTCATAGCCACACGCGTGTAGCAATGTGTCGAGGGAGAGGAGTATGTACAACTCTATTATCGGGTGCGCCGACGCATGGCTCTCTTACCCTCATGAACTGAGAGGAATTCGAGAGGTATGATCTTGTGAGTTTTTCTTCGGATTCGAGGCCTTGTCTTGCGAATCGAGGCCTGAAACTTTGATCTATTCATCTTGGGAAGGTCCTCCCACTAGTTTTGTGAAGAAACTTGGCTGGAAATGCAGAGATCGAGAGTATCTTCAAGAACAGTAGGGATGAGTAATGAACCTTCTTCCGATGCTCATAACTTGGTCTCTGATGGTGTTTAAAATTCACGAAAAATATAGAGACGTAGTTTGCATTACAATTTGCTGAAGAAATTAAATTGTTTTGATTCCAAAATCTAAAGTTGCGAAAATAAGAAAAATGAGGTGTGTTGCAATTTGCAGGAGGAGAGAGAAAACGTTGGCGTGCCACATGTCAACCGGCGGGAGGGAAGTCCCACACGGCTAGAATAGGGATACGTGTTGCTCGCTGCGTGGAGCAACACGTCCAGCGTTGAGCAGAGCAATGTGACTCTAACCAGAATGTGACACGCGTCATCTACAAACCCTAACCGATCCATGATCCGCGTACCGACCTGATCCGACTCACAACCCATCGACTCAACTGAGCAACATCACGACTCGATTTTTGAGACTTCGAAATTCGGTTCGTGACCAAGAAGACGAAACGAAAACAACCAAAAAGAAAAGAAAAGGAAAGAAAAGTAAAAGATAAAAATATCATGAAGTTTTGTTTCAAAATATTACATAGGGAACTACAAATATAAAATGAAATACAAAAGACTTCAAAAGACTGGAAGGGGACTGACGCACCGGAACGACCCTCTCTGTGACCGCACAGCTCTCGAACGCTCCTCCACTTCAACCGGTACTTGAAGAAAAAAGAGTAGAAAGGAATGAGGCTCTCATTGCGTCCTAAGTTTATCAGATTTCCACAGACTTCTCTTTGGCTCTAGGACATCTAATTCTGGTCTTAGCTCGGTAAGGCTTGCCCCTTGGAGTTTCTTTGGTTCTTCGTCCTTTCATTTAAACCCTAAGAGTTCCCTTATGCCAACTTGTGTTTGACCGGTCCTTGCGAGTAGCTAACTTGGCATGACTATGAGGCTATCTGGTGTCTTACCTAGGAAGTGAGATGCAACCCCCTAGTCCCATGGTAATCTCCCTCTGCTTGGGGAGGGCTACCCCCTTATCCCATTCAGCTAAATGGTTAGTTATGACATGAGTCTCACGTTTCCCATGCTAAAACAGTTATAGAGCAGTTGAGTCCTAATCAGGAACTCCCTGATCCCCCACGAAGCTATAACACCAATCACACACAAGTAACCTAAGGGTACTCTAGAGGTGGTTCGCATGTCATGTTAGTTTGTTAGGCTCCTAGGTGAAATGTTAGGTCTATACTGGGTGACTTGTCACTCTAACCACAAATCCCTAGACTTTATCGTACATGTGGGTCATGAAAATTAACTGAGTGTGCACACAACTATCATCCAACATCATCATACATAATTCATGCAAAGTAAACATACATACTCAATGGGGCGATAACATCTATCAACTCCCGGAGCGTAGAGTTTACAAGTTCCCGTCATCCTTTCAGCATGAATTAAACATACACATAAGTGAAAGCTTAAAACATAATTGCAACACTCGAATGATTCTCATAATACTTCACGTAATACATCCATACTCTTAACAATCAAATTACCTACGTTCAATCATGGAAAGGTACCACCTAAGGTAATCAAACTAGCATGCATGCACTCCAAGCGACTCCTACAAGTATTTCTTCCTAAAGTTCCATGTGGTGACTTGATTGACACGTGCCCTTCGTTTAGCGTTTCCACACAAATAGCGTGTCTAATTTTCTCCAATTAACTCCTATTTCATATAAAAATAGGGTTAGAATTGAAATCGGGAGGAAAATTGGGAAAATAGGAGTCGAATCAAACGAAAACAAGCTCCCACGCACCTCGGAAAGAGCCACATGCGCGTACGGATGCGCCTAAGGGAGGAGGACGCGCGTCCTGTGCTGCCACGTGGCGCGCTCAAGTTGGTCATCCGCTGACGAGTGCGTGGGTTCGAATCTGAGAGAGTGTGCTGAAAATCTGAATTTTCTTATGCTGACGCGTGGCAACAAGAAGCCGGGTCTCGCACGGGTCGTGGACTCGGGTAGCGTGCCGCCGGCCATTGAATCCTTCGCGATGCAAAGTATTTCTTTGATTTTCTTCTCCCATGGATGCTTGACACGGGCTCTTCTTCTCCGGCGATGTGCAGCCCCTTGTTCGGCTGACACGTGTCTGAGTCGTCGTCTTCCTCCTACGATTTGTAGAACACGATTACTTTTTCCATTTTCTTTGTATTTTCATATTTCTTTCTACGTAACTCGGATGAGCATGGTTCCTTCATGAGATTTGTAGAGCGTATATCCATTTTATGTAGATATTTTTCTTGTAATTTATTTCTAATGGCACGGATAATTATCTCAGTCCAAAGATGGCAAGAAACATCAATACCTACCAAATCTCGAAAGTTCAACTTAAAATAAAAATTAGATTTTAAATTTTCCATTAGGGCTCGAGTCTTACATTGCTCCAACCTGATCAAACCGAGTTGACTGACATGAATTGCTACCCAAATTGAACCGCTGACCCGTGACTGTAGAAACGCGCAACGCGCGATACTCGCGCGTGAAACCTACGAGTTTGCTTCTTTCTCACCGCATGGGAGCACATGTAGGCACGTGTACGTTGGTTTTTGGACCGTTTAACTTTCGTTTGCTCGATTCTTATCTCAATTCCAATTTTAACCATATTTTTATGTGATTTAGGACATACTTGAAAAATATCACATTTTTTGGACACCCAAACTGCGTAGAAACACTAAACGAAGGGCACATATCAATCATATATGTCACCCCCACAGACTTTAGGAAGAAATGTTGAATGCATATGAGTATGGATGCATTGAAATGTTATGCAAATGCAATCATGTTTTATGCTTATGCTATATATGTATGTGTTTAATTCATGCCGAAAGGAGGAATGAAATTTGTGAACTCTGAGCTTTGGGTATTGATGGATGTTATCGCCCCGTTGAACATATATGTTTATTTTGTATGAATTATGTATGTTGGTTCTAGATAATTAATGTTTGCACACTCGGTGAATTCTAATGAACTAGTAACATGCAAAGACTAGAGACTTGTGGTTAGGTTGACTAGTCACCGGTTTAAACCTAACCTTTTTCCTAGGAGCCTAATACACCACCATGGTTTACGAACCACTTTAGGAGTGTCTTTAGGGTGCTAGATGTGCTAACGGTTTCAATAGCTTCATGGGTGAACAAGGGTTTTTGATCAAAGCCCGACTAAACCTAGCCGTTTCGCATAGGAAACGAGAGACCCACATCATACAACACATTAGCCATACGAGATAAGGGAGGGGTTGCGTCCCCCAATGAGGGAGACTATTATGGATCTGGGAGGTTTTAGCTAGCCATCTAGGTAAGATGCCATATAGTCTCATAGAGTCATGCATGAGGTAGCGCCTCGTAGAGTGACACCAGTCATTCACAACTCAGCTTAAGAAACTCTCAGGGTTTATAAAGGAAAGAACAAAGAACCAAACTACCCAAATGGGTTAAGATTAGAACCCGACGTCCTAGAGCCTATGAGACGCCTATTGAAATATGTTAAGCCTAGAATGCGATGAGAGCCTACAAGTATAACTTTTATATTCGTCCTTGCTACATTTTCCTTTTTAGGTGCGTGATGCTACGGGTCAAGTGACGATGTGTTTGGAAAACATGGATTGTCACAAATGAAAGCATGTCTCGGGACATCATTCTAGTCTTTTTACTTTAAGAAGCATTCATATATTTTCAATGTCAAAACTGGTCACAATTTGGTTTTTTTGTATTGAAACTTCGTCCTTATGAAATAAATGCTTTTTTTTGGTCGATGTCTTTTCCGGGGTTTTCATGCATACACACTACACAACATTGTCATTTTGAATCACGACTCATTGTAAAAATTTGGGTCGGGACAAAATCGGTCTAAAGTACACAGTTTCACAAAATCAGGAGTAAAAAAATAGATGTAAAAAAATGATACCCATAAGACTAAAAAAACATAAGGAAAACATAAGGAAAACAGATTTAGAATAAATAGAAATAGAAAATGATGCTAAATTTAACGTTTTACGGTTAGGGTTTATAGATGTTCTTCCTCTTTTTAAGTCCGCCATTCTCATCTTCCTCCTTGCTTCATCTGTTTTCTCTGACAGGAACGGAGCAATGTCGCCGATTTCTCATCTTTTAATCCTTGTCTTCGTCTTCGTCTTCGTCTTCTTCTCTCCTCTCACCGTCGCAGTCGCCGATCAAAGCAACGCCAATAATCTCAAACAAGAAAGCGATGCCAATAATGAAGAACAAGAATTCGTGAGGCTAGATCTGATACACCGCCACCATCCGGAAGTGGTTAAAAGGATTGATGACGAAATTAAGGTGGATAGTGTCGAGGATCGCATCAAGGATATTCGCTATCACGATCAAAACCGCCTCCGAGCCATCTCCGCCCACCTGAATTGGACCAAAGTTGTGGAGAATGCGGAGGAGAAGGAGAAGGAGGTGTCGGGTTCGAATCTGTCGCAGACGCCAATAGGATTGAAAACATACCCCGGCGCTGATTTCGGTAGCGGTGAATTTTTCGTGCAATTGAAAGTCGGAACGCCGCCGCAGACGTTCACACTGATTGCAGATACCGGAAGTGACCTATTGTGGACGAAATGCAGATTCCGGCGGTGCAGGGGAGATTGCAGCCACCTCTCTCCGATGCATAAGATGCGTAACAAAATGAGAGGGAGATTCAGATACGCGCTTTATGCGAATCAGTCGTCTTCTTTCTCCCCAATCCCTTGTTCCTCCAAGCAGTGCATCGATGATTTCCCTGATCTCGGCGGCCAACCCGATTGTCCAACCCCTAACACCCCCTGTTCCTATACCTACAGGTATTAATCATTATTATTTTTTTTTTTTTAAATAAAATTTTTGGTGGGGACCATTATAACAATATATGGATGTTGGTTGGTTTGTTTTAAAAAATAAAAAAAATAAATAAAAATACAGCTACACAGGTGGGGAGCGTGCGAGTGGAATATTCGCAAACGAGACGGTAACGGTAAGACTAACAAACGGAAAAGAAAAGCAACTGAAGGACATTCTATTCGGCTGCACAGAAGAAGTTGAAGTCACCGACTTCATGAAGGGAGCCGATGGCCTCATTGGCTTAGGCTCTAGCATCTACTCCTTCGTCTACAAAGCCGCCGAAAACAACATCGGCGGCGGCTTCTCCTACTGCCTGGCCGACCACCACCGCAACACAACCGCCATTAGCTACTTCGTCTTCGGCACCCCTTCCCCCAAGACCTTCTCCGCCACCACCTCCTCTCCCATCGGCCCCCCCGCCACCACTAAACTCTTCACCGGCGGCCAATACAGCTGCTACTACGGCGTCCAACTGATCGGAATCTCGGTCGACGACCAGATCCTTAACATCCCCCGTCACGTCTGGAACATCAAGTCCGGGTGCGGCACCATCTTGGACACCGGCACCAGCCTGACGATGCTGACGGCACCGGCTCACGATGCGGTGATAGAAGCGATGGCTCCGAAGATCGCGAAATTCGGAAGAATGGAAAAGCAGAGGAACTTCGAACTTTGCTTCAATGACACTGAGTGGAATTTTGGTATGTCGCCGAAGCTTGGATTCCATTTCGAAGGCGGGGCGGTGTTCGAACCGCCGGATAGGAGCTACATCGTTTCGGCGTCATACCAATGTAGCTGTATTGCCATAACTTCTCTGCCATTTCCGTCAATCAATATCTTAGGGAATATTATTCAGCAAACTTACTTTTGGCAATTTGATTTACTTAAGGGATCCGTCACTTTTGCTCCCTCCGATTGCGCCTAGAACACTCCTCCTCTTTCTTTCATTCCTTTCTTCTTCTTCTTTTATTTTTATTTTTATTTTTTAAATGATTCAATTTCAACAAACATGGAGAGGGGGATTATTACTTTTTTATTTTTAAACAAAACACAAATGTATATTGCTTTACAATGAATTATATATATATATATACATATACATATACATATACATATATGTGTATATCTTCCTATGTTCTTTCTAACCTAACCCCTCTACACCCTTATTCACATTCATGATGTTATAATTATTCATTAATGCCAATCGTATTATCTTGGTACTGCAATTATATATTTTAATGTATTATTAACTATTACATGTCATTAATAAAAACTTAAAGTTTAAAATTTTAAGAATATTTATATGTATATATGCTAACGCAATAGCATCCAGATGTCAATTTGATTGAGATTAGGCTTTTTTAGTTACCTTGAGTTGATAGATGTTATGTTGATGCAACTATGATGATGAAATCATCAGCTATGCAAGTTGTTCTGACATAAGTTACAACAATTGCTTCTTCCTTTCATCACACTTGAGCGGCACGAGGCTAGTTGGATAATGCTCCAAACTCGTATTTAATGTATTTTGGTTCTCCGTCCTTTCATTTAAACACCTGAGAATTCCTTATGTCGAGCTGTGAATGACTGATGTCCCTCTACGAGACGCTACCTTATGTATGGCTCTATGAGACTATATGACATTTTACGTAGGGGTGAGTTGAAACCTCCCAAGTCTGTAATAGGCCCCTTCATTGGGGGTAGGACCCCTCTCTTATCTCATGCAGCTAATGGGTTGTACGATGTGGGTCTCTCTTTCTCCATGCAAAATGGTCTAGATTCAGTCGGGTTTTGATTAGAAACCCCTATTCCCCCACGAAGTTGTTGACACTGTTCACACATCTAGCAGCCTAAGAACACTCCTAAGGTGGTTCGTATGTCATGGTGGTCTGTTAGGCTTCTGTAGTAAAGGTTAAGTCTAAATTTAGTGACTAGTCACCCTAACCACAAATCTCTAGTCTTAACATAATACTAGATCAAGAAAATTAACACTGTGTGCACACAACCATTAGTACTTCCTGCGTGCATGACAAATGACAAGTTGTGAGCTTCCATCTATATCTCTTTCCTTAGCTCTTCTATTGCCGGGAAACATAGGTGTCCTTGGCACAATAGTCCTTCATATGAAGAATTCAAGAATCCGTTTACTGGACTCTCGGCTAGTTGGCTTACGATTTTCAATAGGTTAGGGTCCTCTCGTTGGGAGTCAATAATTCTCAGCCTAAGTGTGGGTTGTACTGTGACTCGGGCCAACTGTGCTATGACTCCTTCAGTCACTACAATTATGATGGCTCGCTCGAAGTCTTTTTATACCCTTACATCTCTCATAATGGAGGCCAACGAGTGGGTTGTCTTTTTACTTAGGGCATCTGCGACCATATTTTCTTTTTCAGGGTGGTACTGGATATCTACGTCGTAGTTCTTCACCAGTTCTAATCATCTTCTTTGTCTCAGTTCAACTATTTCTGGGTGAAGAAATATTTTAAACTCTCGTGTTTGTAAAAATTTGAATTTTCTCTCTATATAGATAGTGTCACCAAATTTTTAGTGCAAACACTACGATGGCCAACTCTAAGTCATAGGTAGGGTAGTTCTTTTCATATTCTTTTAACTACGACCGCTAATTCTATTCAGATTTGAATATCTGATAACTTAATCGAGAATATAAAATGCTAAATAAGACTAAAAATAATACAATTTGAAATTAGGATGGATGAGATGGGAATTTACAAAAGCAAAGTGACCAACAACACACGACATTCTCACTTCACTTTGAAACCTCAAATCATTTTTCTCTTTCTTTTCTATTCATACAAACATTTTCACACAAAAAACATAAAATAAAAACAGTTATATAGTTAATTATCAACCACCCAATTCTACACAGCTTCCGAGCCTGCCGCACCTGTCGCCGTCTCCTCCACTTCCGCCGGTGGAGCGCGGCGGCCGGCGGCGATTAATGTGCAGTGCAGGTGCCTGTGGCAGGTGGTGAGATGGTCGTTGGTCAGACCGGCGGCTTGCATGAAGGAATGGACCACGGTCGGACCGACAGACCGGAATCCTCGCCGGATCATGTCTTTGCTTATGGTGTCTGATTTTGATGTCTTGACCGGGATTTTGTGGCCGGATTTGTAGTGCGGTGAGAATGGGTTGTTGTTCATAAACCCCCAAATGTATTTCTCCAGTGACCCAAATTCCTTCTTAATCTAAAAATTAAACAAATCACCCACTAATTAATTAATTCATTCATGTTTGGAAAAGGAAGAACATATTAATTATTCATTTAACTACCTCCAGGATCCGGATTGCGTTGTCGACCACTCCTCGGACTCTGTTTATGTCCATTCCATACTCTGAGCTGATTGAAACCATCTGTCTGTCGGAAAAATTCGCCACCACTTCTGCATCGAAATCTGAAAATGCATTTCTGGGCGAAGATGAAAACTCTAAATCAGTGAATTACAGACCAACCCACAATCTTAAACGGATCGATTAAGGTTGTTTTTGCACCTGAAATCTTGTCGTTTCTTCAAAATTGAAGTCCAATCCGAACCCACTTGGGCCACACTCAGAACCAGCAGTTCAAACAGTGCTCTGTTTTCAAATTTAAGCTTCAGTGCTTAAAACAATGGAGGAGAGAGAAACAGGGAAGAGGAGAGAGAGAGAGAAGCTCACTGGTCATCATGAACAGGGACGCCCCATTCTTGGTCATGATAGGCCACATAAATGGGATCTGACAAGGAAAATTTTAATTTATGAATATAAAAAAACAGGGGAGATTTAAAAAATAAATAAAGAAATAAAGAAACAGGGGAGATTGAAGGGTACCTGAGTTGGGAGTGATGAAGCTGCATCTTCTATCTTCAACAACGCCTTTAATTTTAGAATCAAAGGGAACAATTTTCTCAAACCGGGCGGATTTAGACCGTCCATAATGGGCAATTCTCATCTTCCTCTGCGCCTGCTGCAGCGCCACCTGTTCTCTTCTCACGGCGGCGATGCTCCCCGGCGACGCGACTTCAGCAGCATTATCAGAAACCACATTCCCATTTCCCCCAAGCTTGAAGCTTTTGGATTTCTTCGTATCCAAGGCAGGGCGGGGGCGAGACAGAGAGCCGCCGTTAGCGGCGACCGGAAGGAGAATGCTGTCAGAGGTGGAGGTGAGGTTGGGGGTGGGGGAAGGGTGTTTGTTAAGGGAATTACGGCGGTGGAGGAGGCGATTGGAAGTGGATTCCAAGGCTTGGTCTGAACGACACATCGTTTTTGGTTGTGTTTTGGGGAAGAGAGAGAAAGAGAAAGAGGAAGAGAGAGAGAGAGGAAGAAATGGGAGTTAGAGAAGAAGAGGGAAAGAGAGGCATTTTATAAAGGAAATTTGGAAGAGCCACGAGGATGACAACCTAATTTATATTTTTTTAATTAATTTTACCATTTCCAGCTCTCTATCGTTATCTACTTCCAATAATCAATAAATTCAAGTAACAACAAGTAGTAAGTAAATTATCGTATTCACGTGAATTACAAACAAACGGAACGAAAAAAAATTATTTATTTGTACATATAAATTCCAATCGCATTAATTCCAACCTATTTGATTATTATTAAATTCACATGTACTTTCTCATTTGCGAAATCGACAAATTTAGGACCACGTTCTAAAGTAACATTTTTTTAGTGAATCGTCTTTTCAGTAATGCAAGAACCAGTAGTTAATTGTGTAATTCTCATACTATTCTTAATGTTAATTGTCTTCTCTAAATTCTAATCCTCTTTTTTTATTTCGCATTTAATATTTTACTTTTTTTTTTTTTTTTTGTCTCTTTTTTATTATATTTTAAAATTATAACTATTTTCTTTACTGTAAAATAGTGTTAAAATTTTAATTTATTGAATATGAATTTCCTATGGTTTGCAACTAAGTCATAAATTTTCCAAGAAATAATTCACAAAATTATTATTGTTTCAATTAATTCAACTATGATGGATTGTTACTCAAAACTAACTAAGTTCAATAATTACTGAAATACATTATTTGATTATTTATAAGAATATTAATGTGAAAAAGTATATAATATATTTATATTTTAATTATATAGTAAAGTCTTTTAAAAGGTAAATTTGTGAGTTTGAATAGGTAGATAAACCCATGATATAATTCTTACTTTTTTTAAAAAGTTTTTTTTTTAATTTAAAAGGAAAAGTTATCCCTAACAAAAATAAAAATGCTCATAAATTTTTTTAAAATATATATTTTTTATTTCTAACAAAATAAATAAATAAAAATACTCGTAAATTTTTTAAAAATATTTTTTCTAATTTAAAACGAAAAGTTATCATTCCTATAAATTATTTAGTTAGCAAGTATATTTTATATTTTATTTTACTTTTAAAATTTAATTAGTAGTATATTTTTAAAAAATAATTAGTAATATATTTTTTCTTATTCTTAACAAAATTTCAAACAACGCGTAATTACACGTGGAGAGAGATGAGTGGATGTTGCAACAACATTACACGATCCTCTCCAATAATATTCCCCTATTTATTTGGAATAATTTTTTTAACTTGAAAAAAAAATATGATTTTTTTTTAAATATAAAAAATGTAAATGTGTCAGCTTTTTATTGCATACGGTGAGACAATCCATGTGAGTGTAACCGACTGCTTTGATGATTATAATTATTAATTAATAGTTTAAATTAGTTTTTAAAATATAAAAATTAAACCGTGCCGGTTTGTGGCTCCCTTACAACCTAAAGCTACACCCAATTATTTCATTTTCCTTATTTATTAATTATTTCAAATCCTATAATTATGCATATCTAACTTTTATATCTTTTTTAATTCACCGTTCTTTTCGTTCAAATATTTTTTAATATATATATTTTTAAATATCATCTCAAATATGACGTAACATATTAATTTTTTTTATTAATTGTATAATAAAAAATTGAGTCATTGACTTTAAAGTTACAATTAATAGTTTATTCACTAAATTATATTAAATCAACTTGGGATCCTTTACTATATATATATAATACTAATATTTTAATTAATTTATTTTATAGTTGTTATAATGGCCATATAAGGTTTAAGTTGGGAAAATTTTGAGGTTATTTTTACCAAACAAAGAGGAAGAACAATTATTTTGAAATTTATAAAATTTCAAAGAAAATTTAAATTTATTAAGATGAGTTGAAAGAGAGGAAAAAGGCTAGCATAGAGAGTGCTAGCCTGCTTGTCATCCATGGGAGGTAGTTGACAAACCCATCCCACAAGCCATAGAATCACCCAAAGTCGAGGGCACTACTCCTGTCGTACCAACTTTGCTGATTACCTGTATAACCAATGCCTCTTATAAGTCAGATCCTCCGTATAGGGTAGCCCAACAAACTCTCTTGCTCATGTCACACAAACCCTTATCAGCCTCATGCATGACTCAACAGTACCAAACCGAAGCGAAAAGGGGTGTGGAGGCTCCTCGACGCCCATCGTCTACTACCAACCTACGTGATACCCTTTATTCCTTTTGGGCTTATCGTGGCGGTCATCTACGTCTTTAGGGCGGTTTGGCAATCTTGACGAAGTTCCACATCTCCAAGTAATATGATTCTAACGTCTGAGTCTGGATCGTTCAGGAGCACGAGGTCCACCCTCTATTCGTTTCTCATGAATCTATAGCGCTCTTCTTCTAGAAGTGTTTCGTCCTATGTCATATACTAACCAAACTATCTTACACACCCTAGTTTAAGGTCATTCCTATTGCTAATCCTCTGTAGAGATAGTCACACATTCATACACAAACAAATACTCAACTAGGTGATAACATCTATCAAGCACCCAGAGCACAAATTTCACAAAATCTCATCCTCCAATACAACATGATATCTGGAGTAGCAGTATAAAACGACACTATACGACAAATGAAGTCTAACACATCCATTTTTGCATACCAAAGCATATAATTGCACATTTATACCATATTCTTAGGTATAAGTCATGCTACACTATCCATAGAGACGATTTTTCTATCGTGCATGCAAATCCAGGTGATCTCTACCATTATTATTTCCAACAAATCCATGTTATTTTAATTGAAATCGATACATTACTCATAAAATAATAAGATTTGAAGTTCAATGGTAACAATTCTGTATAAGTTGAATTTTGGGGGGGGAAAAACATTAAAGTCTAGCTCTAATTGTATTAGTAGAAGAAAATTGTAAAAAACAAATGAAAAATCAACACAAACCAAGACTTTGCAGTTCCGCAACTAAGCAATCCAAACATAAACTTCATAAGACCAAACAATTCAGACGCCCAAACACCGATTTCATAACTAAATAACTCAATGAATCCAATTAAATAACAACTGAGAACGATTTATTTTCTAATTTTGAAGAAGACCAAGAAACTTGGGACTCATCACTAGAGAGAGAGAAAAGCTTTTAAATCCGAAGGTAGCTTGTACTAACTTATATATTAAGATTCCTATAATGTAATTTCCTCAAATCATAGTCCACTGGTCGAGTCTCATGCCGTGGCTTTACATAAATTTTTCATTAAATTATCGTATTCGAGTTTAAATTTGACACAGAAGACTTGTACAGAAACAGTTTATTTGTGAGATCAATATTATAAATCACAATAATGTGTTAGTTATCAGACTAACCGTGAAACCCAACAAAGCTCCAGCTGCAACTTCAATCTCAGTGTGGCCTATTGATTCTTTGAATGACTTCCATTCACTACCCTCCCTTCTTGACCCTTCTTCCACATCAGTTGCTAAGCTCGACGATGCGATATCCTCCTCCTTTAATGGACTCAGTACCGTCAAGGGCCTGGTTCCTTCCTCAGATAACAGGGGACTGCTGCTCTCGAGTTGCGAGTCGACTCGACGATCCTGATCTTCATAGGAAAAGGATGAGTTCACAGGTGTCTTTGTTTGCAATAGTGTGTTGATTGCTTTAGCATGTTTTCCTACTTCTCTCCTGACTCCCTGCAAAACAAGAAATTTCGTTGTGATTACTCTTACAAAAGTATCGACCGTGATCATTGGAGGACAATACAAAAGTATCGACCGTGAACCGTAAATGACTGATAGAGTGGGAGCTCGTCCCACCTGAGGGACTTCCACCCTACCAACCTCCAAACCTCTAGGCTAGAAGGTAACTGACTAAGATAATCGGCAACAAATACTAAAATAAAACAGAAAAAGGGAACTTTTGCCAAAGATCTCTATAAGCTTACAAACTCCAGCTGGTCTGATTAACAATGATCAAGAAGCTGGTGTTCAACTCAAAGCCAATAACAACTTTGTCCTCCTTTCCAAAAGCCTTCCACTTGAAGGATGTCAAGCAAGGGAATGCCAATCAGGTTTATCATAAATTTTCTCAAGATTCAATTTAAAAATCACCCCCTTTTGTTTCTTCTTTAGGAATCATCGACCAGTTTTTTTGCCATTCAGATGAGGTCTATGATTTGCCACAGCCAACAGAAGTAGATTAGACAGCGGGGGAGAAACATTTAAGCCTGTCCGTTAGAACCTCATCAATTATCTAATAAACTGTAGAACTGAGGTTACTGGGTCTAAACTCTAAACTTTCTAACTGTTATGTATTGCATGCGTATATATATACACATACATCCAGACATATTTCCAACGACCAAACTACTAATTCATTTCCATCGAGACTGCAACTTCCCATTCTTCGATACCACCGGAAAGAACCTTGTGCGCATCAATGATCAGAGAAAAAGTCCAGGAAGGATAAAATATATCATAATACACAATAATTGTAAGTGCAGATCAAATACTCTTGCAATGGGGTCAAACTCCAAGCTAAGTACTTAATATTCGCTTATATTATATATCGGTTAATAATTACGATCATCCACCTACCTTATTCAGTAATTGAGTTTTGCCTTCGTCTGATCATGTAATATAGCTATAATTGATTAGCATGGTATCCGAAACAACATGAATGAGACTGCAACATGAAACATAGAATTGAAGAAGACTAAAACAAGCCAAAAGGAAAAGAAGATACTTTCACAGTATAACAACAGTCCAATTCAAAACTAATTTAGCTATTGCTCAAAAAGATATCAAAAGAAGCTTAGCCTATTCTACGATTCTCAATTGAATTTGTGATGTACATAAGGCTATTGTCAAATTGAGCATAGCACAACTACTAAAAAGATGTGCCCTCGACCAAGAGATCAAGAGGTTCGAATTCCCCATTCCGCTTATTTGAACTCTAAAAATAAAAACTTCAGTACAGGGTATTGACCTGCTTTACTTCGTTCGATTCGTCACACTTGTTCATAAGTATTGATTTTTTTTAGGATCTATA